GATGGTACTTCGATCGAGAATTTTCATGGCTACACTTTCACCAGTCTCCGTGTTTTGCGCGAACTTTACCTTGGCAAAGGTTCCTTCTCCAATTGTCCTTCCTACCTCATACTTCCCTACTTTCCTAATTGCCACCATCGTGTTAATCTCTCTCTCTCTCTTTCTCTGCTACCAGTTAATCACTTTCTTAGTTCAAAATCTCTTCTTCTTGCATTTGAAAGCAGTCCTCTCTTCTCTTTAAAAAGCGAGGTCCTAGTTTTCAACAAGGAAAAGCTATCAAGTGTTACGGGCAGAGGAAGCTTTTTCGCTTTATAGATTTAAAAAAAAACAACTGGCATGTTGTAGAAGGTAACCCTAGACTACTTGCTAGTTTGGTATTTGCGTTTTCAATTCTGCTGGATGTCTCTTAAGAATATATTTATCTTTAAAAAAATGCTAATTTTATTTTTTATTTTTTATTTTTTTAATAATTTTAAAATATTAATATTAAAAATAAAAATAAATTTAAAAAAATATTTTAATATATCCTCAAGTAAAAAATATTTTTAGAAAGTAATATTGTTAAGAGTATATTTGGGACAAATCATGATATTTAAAATTTTTAATATTTTTAAATTTTAAATTAATTATTTTACAGAACATATTATTTTGAGATGGTTTGTTAATTTACTTTAGTAATAATAAAATATTTTTTGAAACAAAAAATATATATTTTAGTTAGAAATATAATATTACCTATGATAAACACGATAAAAAAATTATTTTCATACAAAATTTTAAAAAGTAATTATGTTTTTAAATTTAATGATAATATTAATGAGTTTTTAAAAATCTGTAGATTTATTTTACTCAAAAAGAAATCCAGGTACCCTACAAAGAGAAGAATTTGTCCGAACTTCGAATTCAGTAAAGATAGTTAAAAAACTGGCTGTCTTGAGAATTTTAAGGCCAGAGAAAGAGTGAAAAGTAGAGAGACGAAGGGGTTGGGAGACCTCAAATCTTGTCTTTTAAAGTTTCGAAACTGAAATTTACTGTGATAATTAATGTTCGGCGATCAAGAGCAATTAGGAGGTGGGGTTGTTTTATACCGAGCTTTTGATTTGGATAGAGCGGGGAGCCCTTCGGTGTGCCGGGAGACATCCATGGGTACCCTACAAATAAAAGAATTTGTCCGAACTTTGAATTCAGTAAAGATAGTTAAAAAACTGGCTGCCTCGAGAATTTTAAGGCCAGAGAAAGAGTGAAAAGTAGAGAGACGAAGGGGCTGGGAGACCTCAAATCTTGTCTTTTAAGGTTTCGAAACTGAAATTAACTGTGACAATTAATGTTCGGCGATCAAGAGCAATTAGGATGTGGGGTTGTTTTATACCATGCTTTTGATTTGGAAAGAGCGGGGAGCCCTTCGGTCTGCCGAGAGACATCCATGGGGCCGGGGTTTCTGTGAGACAAAGGACCTCTCTTTTAGTGGCTGCTGGTAATATCTTCTTCCTTGATTCGTGACACATTCCCATTATTTCTTGGATTTTTCCTTTCTGTTATCATGATTTTGGCTGCTAGTAATATCTTCTTCCTTGATTCGTGACACATTCCCATTATTTTGGCTGCCCTATTATCTTAATCAAGTATTAATGGTTAATCCTTAGTTATGATTACTTGTTGAATTACAGTTTTGTCTATTTGTGACTAAATCGATAGGTTTTTTCCTCAAGATTTCTGGCGACCTATGGAGAGAGAGACCGTGGCATTTGTCACCGAAAATACATTTTGATTTTGTATTTGAAAAGTATTTAAAAAAATTATTCTTTTTTATATTTTCAATTGTTTTGATATATTAATTTTAAAAAATAAAAATGTATATTATTTTAATAAATCTCTAAATAAAAATTACTTCAAAAAAACAACTTCAAAAAAAGAAGTATTATTTTACTGCTATTACAATGAAGGCCAAGTCATCAGCACTCAACAAGTGCCATGATCCTCCTTGTTAATGATGATAAAACTGCACCAAAGGGTACAGATTTTGAAATCTGCAAGATGATTGTGCGCAAATTGACCATTATTCCTCAATCCTCATGTGGTCGTCATCTAATTTCTTAATTTGTTACGGATCACGCATCAACTTGGGTGGTTTTTTGTTATATTTTCTATTTTTGTGGCACTTTATAGCTTGTTTGTTTCGTGATTGCTCCTGTATTTGAAACAAACTACGGAAATAAATATTTAATAACTAATAAAACTCTATTCATTGTTCATGAATTCTATTATTAATTGTGTTGAAAACATAGAATCATTAAAAGCAGCACAATGCTGCTTCTTTTGTTAATGTCTCTTTATGATGTTTACATGAATAATAAAGAATGTTTTATTATTTGAATTGAAATGGGTCCAGTTTTAAATTAAGTATATTGAATTAGATCCGATCCGGTAAAATAAAAAATTAAATTAAATTAAATTTTATTTTTAATTATTTTTTATTTAAAAAATTAGTTTTTAATATTATTCAATGACACTCTATAAATTTGATAGAGATCGCTTAATAACGTAGTATTTACAAGATTTAATTGTAATTTTATATTTTACTTGATATTGTTGCAAGGTTAAGAAATCAACAAAACTCTAATCCTTGTCGGATGTATTTCATACGTAATGGAATTGTAGATAATTTAATGGAATAATAAAAAATATTTTATATAAAATATTATTTATTTCATGATGTAATAACAGTAATTAAATCTATAATATTTAAATTAAAAATCATCAATATTAATATATATATATATATATTATTTTATAACTTTAATTTAAAAAACATTCTTAACCAGATGTATTAAACAACCTTCTGTTTTACTTTAATTTTAATTATAATTTTAATTAAACATATATCAATATTAAAGCAACCTAAATTATACATGCTTAAACATAAATGAGTTATAATTAATTTTTATGTTATGCTAATTATACAATGTTATAAATCAATGTACAAATGGCAATTTTTCACTTACAAAATGAAAATATTTATCACTTTACACTTAACCTATTTATAATAAAAAAAAAAATTATTTTTATTTTTTTACAATTTATTTTTTTGTGATTTTTTTTATTTGAATTTTTTTAAAAAATTATTATTTATTATTCATACCACTTGAAATATTTATCTTTCCATATTTGCAGGCTAGTATGCGTAGGCTTTCTTTTCCTTTATTAATGGGATGGACGACAGTCTATACTTGCATGGCCAAGCATGTGAACCCTTGCTTTTTTCCTTTGTTAATGAGAAATCATGTTGTACATCTTTTTTTTAAATTGAATCAAGCGCGCAAACCTGGCTTACCAAGGATATTAGCATCTAATTTGTTTTATATATATAATTTAATTTTTTTATTCTATACATTTTTAATATGTTTTTAATTTATATTTAAATTAATATTCATTATTTTTTTTAGATTGTTTGTATAGAATTTTTTAAATAAAGATTCCTTTTTAATTATTTTAATATGTATTTGAAGTTTTGAAAAGAGTATTTTAATTCTTCTATAATTTATTTTTTAGGTTTTAATTTTATTTTGTTTATTCTTGGTAAGAAATGGGTTTTAAATTAATATTCATTATTTTTTTATTTTTTATTTTTTTAGATTGTTTGTATAGCATTTTTTAAATAAATATTTTTTTAATTATTTTAATATGTATTTAAAGTTTTGAAAAGAGTATTTCAATTCTTCTATAATTTATTTTTTAGGTTTTAATTTTGTTTTATTTATTCTTGGTAAGAAATGGGTGCAGATGCACTAACACAAAAAAAAATGATCTAGTCTGTCTTGTCACCACTCTTCCTTCATTAGGTTCAGTAATAATAAAATCCTCCAACAGTTTTCAAGCAGGATCCATTGTTTTAAACGGTGCACAAAGTTCCTCAAAACACACGCCACCATGTAGCAAGGCCAGGTGTGATGTGTTTGTGGAGCTGTATCTTTCAAAACCAGACAATTGACTTTGAAAAATCAGACCAAGTTCAGTTGATTATTTGATTTTTGTCACGATCATCAAGAGTGTGATCCTCCATCTGGTTCTTGTCTGAACATCACTAAACAAGGAATCAGTTCATGAATTAGTTATGCTCGGTCCAGAAGGAATTAATTATTTGTAACAACACTTGACAGACATCACAACAGTGTCCCATGTAAAAGTCTTTATCCGCTACAAACCAGGAATAAAAAAGATAGTGACGATAGGATAGGTTGCTTTGAATATATTTTCACAGATTGGGGATTAGCATAATGCAGCGTGGCTGCATTATTATCGAGTGAGGGAATTCTGGGCGTGTGTTTCTGGCCAAGAAAGAAAAGGTTGTATGTCTCCTCAGTCTCCATAGGAGAAATGGAGCAAGCAACCCTGTTTTCCACTCAACTGCTCCATTTCAGCTCTAGTTGCTTCCGAAAGGGATGATGCTCCGCTTGCCTCTATGGTTTATGCAAGGATACCGGAGAAATATTCTAAAAATACAAGCTCATGTTTAATTTTTATTTTGCTACTCCGATCTTAAAAGGCTGATGTTTTTTCTTGCCCTTTTCAGGCACAAAACAGATCTAGAAATGTAGTTGACATATGGGTCACGGCCTCACAGCTGACCCACATATGCTTTGAGAAGGGAAAACATGGACCACCCAGTCAAAGAAAGCCCAAATAATATTATCCTGTAACATAGCCCACAATCCTAACTCTATCGTCGCTGAAGCTGTTAACTGTGAAGGCATAATTCAGCATCCAGAATGACGGCCTTGGCATGCAATCCATGAAAGTCTAAACTGAGGAAATTTTAACCTTTGAAGGAACCTTCATGGCTCACTCGATTTGAGTTCCCGGAAATCAAGTCCCATTCCCAGGAACATGTCTTGGACGTGACACATATAATTTCCATTTATCAAAAATACAAACTAGACTTGGAGGATATAACGTATCCAAGATGGATAGGTAATTTCAATACCCGCATTTGGACTGTATAAATATGAACTAAATCCTGGAGACAAGCACATAGGACGCAGAGGGAAATTTAAAGTAAGGAACTGTTTGAAGTATCTGACATAAGATTTCTCAGGTGAAGTTTCAATGTAAAACATGAAATTTCCTCACAAAAGTCTGCTCTTTCATTCCCAACCAAAGTTTTGTCTTTAGACTCTACTGTTTAACAAAGCAAAGGCCTTGAAAAATCAATGCCTTTCGGTCCATAATTATTTTCTCTTTCGAAAAACGATTTTGAAGGTGGTTTGAAGCAGAATTGTTTTCTCTTGCAGTGTTTAGTTAAGTGAAGAATGGAGAAGCAGCAAGAATTGGAGTGGGCTAAAGCACAGAAGATTGCAACAAATCTAGACCTTGTAGCTGCAGCTAAAAAGCAGTTGCGATTCCTTGCAGAGGTTGATAGGCATCGTTACCTCTATGATGGCTCTTCCTTGGACCGGGCCATTCACAGGTATTGCCGTGTAACTGATGTTATGTGATGAACTCCTGCAGGAAATCTCGCCCTTCAAGTTCTCAGCAATACAAACCCACAACCTAAAATCCGTAATTTTAATTCAATTTTTTAGCAAATTTCTTACTGCACCAATGCCAGGTACAAGTACTGTTGGCTTCCATTGTTAGCCAAGCATGCTAAATCTCCTGTTACAAAAAGCCCTTTGGTTGCCCCGCTTGATTGTGAATGGATCTGGCATTGTCACAGGCTCAATCCGGTAGTCCTCTTGACTCAAATTTGTTTTAAAAAAGCAGCATTTTTTTTTTTTGAAAAAAAGAATCGTGCACTTCTTGAGAACATAGTGGGTTTTTATTAGGTTTAGTTTTTCAGGTGTGCTACAGGAATGACTGTAAGGAACTTTATGGGAGGATTCTCGGTACCTGGAATGTTGTATCTTCCACTCAGGCAGTTTGTAAGAAGCAAACTGAAGAATTCTGGAATAGAACCTATCCTACGGAACCATATGAACTGAATCCAAGCACCCAGTTAGTGGAGAGTGTTGGGGACGCTATTCTAGGAGCCCAAAAAAGCACAGAATATGATCTAGTTTCAGCTGTCAAAAGGCAGAGTTCTTTCTATTATCAGGTAATTTAAAAAAAGAAATCCAAAGGTGCCAAATTATTCATGTTTGTAACATCTACATACGACTGGATTGTTACAGGTAATCTAATTTTTTAATATTTTGTAAGTGTTGGATGACAGTCTGTTAACATAATGGAAGTTATTACACAAACTGTGCTTCACTAGGTTTTGGATCAGCTTCCAGCAGATGAATGTTCTGCTTGATAGTTCAAATTCTGTGATTTTCATCTAACAAGAAAGAAATGTGTCAAAAAAATATAAAAATTGGAGAACTAATTAGTCATTCTGTATTGAAATGTCTGGATTTGACACAAGCTCAACGACCCAACTTTGACTTCATTGACAGGTATCAAGTCCCCATATGAAAAATGATACCTTTCTTGAAGAAGCTGTAGCTAGATACAAGGGATTTCTGTATTTAATCAAGAGAAACCAGGAGAGGTCCATCAAGCATTTCAGTGTTCCAACTTATGACGTTGACCTCATCTGGCATTCTCATCAACTACATCCTGTTTCTTACTGTAAAGATCTGGTGGCAATAATAGGCAGGGTGCTAGAGCATGATGACACTGATTCTGATAGAAGTAAAGGTAAAAGGCTGGATACCGGGTTTTCTGGGACCACTAAGCTGTGGGAGGAGACATTCGGTTCAAGATACTGGAAGGCAGGAGCTATGCATAGAGGCGATGCTCCATCTCCTCTCAAAATCAGTTTGGGTGAACTAGACACTTCAAATAAGAACGATACTGCTTCCAATCAATATCAAAGTATCATTCAGCTTCCAAAGAAAAAGCTGATTGAGGTAGTCACACATATCCTTTCTCACTTTGCTTTCAGATTATTGCCCCACTAAACACCCATATACCAAGCACAAGTGCTGATATGACATAATTCATTCAGGTTATGGTGGAAATTGTGGAGGTTAGAGACTTACCAGCTGAGCATAACGGAGGCCTTTCTGTAATACTTGGTAAGAAACAGCCAGATTTGTATTTCAATGGCAGGAGAATGAGCATCTTGTCCAAGGCAAGGAAGAAAGATGTCGCTGTTTTCCAGTGTGAACCCACAGGAGAGCTCATCTTCAAACTTGTGTCCTATCCATCTTCTGTTTCACATAATGCAAGGCCTGAGAAAATATTGGGGACAGCATTAATCTCTCTACATGACCTCATGAAAACAGGTTCTCCTTTGTCAATTGAAAAATGGTTTGCATTGGTGCCAAATTCTGGGATTGTAGGTTCCAAGCCAGTCAATCTCTGGATTGCTCTCTCTTTCACTCCTCCAGTACAGGCACCATCATTGCTGCACATGGTCCAGACTCGTCCATGCACAACATCTTGTTTCTTTCCCCTCTCTGGAAGTTTTCAACAAGATGAAACTTGGACATGCGTTGTGGATGAGGATGGCAACAGGATCATCAACCTCCAGATGAGGTGCTTATAACTTGGTGCATAGTTGACCATACCGAAGCTCTGCATTCAATGACATTTGTTTTTTCATCAGATATTCAAAGAAAGCGGAGGCCAAAGACAAAAAGGAAGTGATCGGCATGACCAGCTCCGGCGAAAGACTTGTTCTCGCAGAGTTTGCTGGAACAGGATGGTCTTTGATGAATTCCAGCTGGTGGTTTCAACCTCAAGAAATAATTACTGATGCTAGTCGGATCTTTGAGCTCACTGGTAGCCATAAGGTGAGGACCTATTCTCCCATGCCTGAACACTACGTGCTTGGACAATTGCGGATGCAATCCTCCTGTATAATCAATCATATGGAAATTCAAGCAATTTTTTCCTCTAACATTTTTTTTTATCCTATGATCATCTTACATGTAATTTTCTATGCAGCTAGGTAACCTCTAGTGTTTTGTGGCTTCAGGTGATCGTTTTTCCTGGTAGGAAACTGGAGTATGAAATCAAATGTGAGAAGCATAAAAGCGAACAACATTTCTTGACAGCTGTCAAATTTTCTGCAGAATATCCTCATGGAAAAGCAGTGGCACTGTTTGATTTGAAGTCTGCCTCTCTCAAGGTACAGAAGGTGTCAATCTTCGAGCATCATTCGTCAATAGAATTGTATTATTTAATAGTTTTGTGACCAGGTGAATGAAGAATGGCTTGGATTTCCCGGGATTTTATTAGCTTTTCTACTCTCCGATACTCCGAGGAATGAGAGCAATGGACAATTCAATACCGATGGAGAGAGTGCAAAAGAAATGGACACTGGTTCAAAGCAATATGCAAATACAAGCTCTAAGGAAGACAAAACAACCAACCAAATTCAGGACATAGAAGATATTGCGAAAGCAACAACCCAAGAACCCTACAAATCTGCTGATGAATGTGATTGTGGTGTTGTGGCTCAAGTCGAGGTGATGGGTGGAAAGGGCAGTGGAGTTGTCAAGAATGTCACAGGTGAAGAAAACTACAGTAATGGATCCAAAGCAATAATAAACAGTGGAACATATTGCTCGAACTTACTTGGCCTTGTTGGTTCAGACTCTGCCAATCATATAACCCAAGAGGATGAAGCAAAGAGCGCTCATTGTGGTGGGTGTGGCTCGTGTCATGGTGGTTGTGGAGGGTGTGGTTCCCAGACTGACAGTTCTATATTCCAAGGGGATGCAGCAAACAGCCCTCATTGTGGTGGGTGTGGCTCGTGTCATGGTGGTTGTGGAGGATGTGGCTCATGCCATGGTAGCAGTTGCGGCCAAGATCAGCAGTAAATTATCTTAGTGATTGCTGGTCAAAATGCAGCTGCCGCCTATACCTAAGGACACATTAGCTGGATCCAAAATAAGCACTTGATACATGATATCATTTCACTTCAAGCACCGAAATTAACATAAACCATATAGACAAGTAATGTACTTAATTCTGGTGATCTATATATAATAATAACGCACTGCGCTTATTTAATTATCTTTTGCTTCTCAATTAAGGATCTCTCTATTATTACTGGATGTTCTTCCTTTCCATACCAGAGGGGGCGATAGGACTTGGGGCCAGGTCCTGCCAAAACAAGAAGTTGCTTCTGCAGCTATGAGAAGAAATGCTGAATCTTCTATCTGCCAAGTGCCAAAGATTTTGTGCAAGAGGAAAATGTGAAATTTCTACCACTGAATGCAAATTCAATTATAAAAAAACGGTGCCAGACAACCCTCTCAAAAACAGTTCCAAAGATTATTTTCACATTCAAACTAAACCATATTAAATAAATAAATAAACTCATGAATCCAACCAATCAATCCTTTCTAACCCAAAATCACACACGGGAATTCTGTGGAGTCATAACATTAGCAATAGCAACCTCACCGTCCTGATTCACCACACCACCACCTTGCCTACAATCTACAGCTCCAATGGTTGCCACTGGAGCTGCCTCATACGGAGTTGTATAATACACACTGTCTCCCTGCAGTATCTGAACCAACCTGCAGATACCCTCGCTCGGCCACTCCGACTTTTGGCTGCACCAATCAACCAGCTTTCCTCGTCTTTTAAGCCAGCCGCCGGTTGCTGGACATGACTGTAAACCTCCTGCACAACTCTCTGCACTCCATAATAACCTTTACCAACTTGTCCAGTACCGGTCTCAATGATGTTGCTTGAAGTAAATAAACTAGCTGCTCAGTTCCAACATAAGTCACGGGATAACCATTTGAACTCAAATGCCCTTCGTGTAAGTTTACGGCTGGAATTACCGCTCCAACCGGAACTGGAGCAGGCGGCACCGGTGTCATTTTCTCCGGAAGTTTCTGTGCATAATGTTCACAGAAACCTCTAGAGCTGGCCTCGTCAGATTTCCGTTACTAGTTATTACCAGCAATGTGCAGTCTCTTGAAATCCAGAGTCTGTTGTTTAAACGCCTCAGAGGCATCTCCAATTAAATTCCTATCCTCTGATCCACTTTCCGAGCCAGCAGAAACATCTTTCACAACAACATCCGGCACAGTAGGCTGCGAAGGTGGAGTATCCACAAATTTCGTTCCTGGAACAACCGTATTATTATCCAGTTCGAACAAACAATCCGGATTCTCCGCTGAAACAGCCGCCTTGGCGGGTGGTAAAGAAGATTCTCTAGACTCTGCACGCTTACAGAATCTAAAGCATCCACGAACAACTGCCTCTCCGATTTCACTTCACTCGGAACGAAACTTTTCAGACTAAACAGAAATAACCGTAACTTCGCGGCCTTAGCGGAAGCCCGGTGCAACCGGTCGAATTCAATCACCATGTGCTCAAGATCCTCGTCATTTGTAACGGAAATCAAAGCAACAACATCTTCACCAGGAAGTTGATACTTAAAAAACATATCAGTGGCCTCGCCACAAAGAGACGTGAGTTTATGCACCATCCCAGAAAACTTGATACCGTGATCGACGCATAGGATTTTCGTGTCGCCTCCGATGTAAGCGAGTTGGTTATCGTGGTCTTGGTTGGATTTTCCCACCATCACTACACATTACTTTGACTTCGTAGGTTGACAGCGGGTCGTCTGATGAATGAATGTCTTCGGTTTCGCTGGAGTCTGGGTAAGAAAAGTGAGAGAAAGTCTCCATTTTTGTGTCTTAGGGTTAGGGTTTTGAAGGGGAGGAAGATGGATGAAAATGTTTTCGTTCGGGAAGGGAGAAAACATGTAAAAACAGGGTTGCAGATAATAAAACGGCGGGAAGTTAGTGATTATTTTTTTAAATATTTATTTTTAAAATATATTAAAATAATATTATTTATCTTTAAAAATATGAAAAAATAATTATTTTTTCTTCAAAAACATTTTAACACTGTGGTCATATTTGTTTTTTGGAAAATAATTTTTGAAAAATCATTTTTCAAACTTTCTTGTGTTTGTTTGCCATTAGAAAAGGTAATCAACGAAAAACATTTTCCGGTCAATGAAAAACACTTTCCAGTCAACAGAAAATACTTTCTGGTCAATGAAAAACACTTTCCGATCAATGAAAAATACTTTCTAATCAACAAAAAATATTTTTCAGTCAAAAAAAAATTTGGCTTGGTTTTCAGGAAAGTATTTTTCTTTTTAACTGTGTTTGTTTTCCGGAAAGTGGTTTCCGGGAAAACACTTTCCAAACTTTCTTATGTTTGTTTATTGTTAGTAAAGTTGGTAAACAAAAAAAATTTTCCAGTCAAAGGAAAATTTGGCTTGATTTTCAGGAAAGTGTTTTCCTGAAAAATTTGAGAGGAAAACACTTTTCGGAAGTTATGAAAAATTTAGAAATGTCATTATTTGCTGATTATATCAAATTTGATCCTCAAACTTTTGATTGCTATATATATATATATATATTTTTTTTATTTTGAATATTTATTTTTCAATTTTATTTTTTAAAATTTAATTTTTATATTAACTTTGCTCCTCATTTTTATAATTGTTATTTGCTTTTCTCCTATTATTTTTTTATTGAAATTTTTTATCTATCAAATTTGATTCTTATTCTTTTGATTGTTACTTATTTTATTTGAAATACTTTATAAAATGTTAATTATTATTATTTTAATTTCTTCATCTTTTTTTTTTAGATTTGATCTTTATTATTTTGATTATTATTTATTTTATTTGAGATAATTTATGAAATTATTTTTTTTTCAATTTCATTATTATTCAACTTTTTAATTTATAAGATTTGTTCCTCATTATTTTAATAAACTTGAGAAAAATAAAACATTAATAAATTATTTTCCAATTCATTTTCCATAACATAACCAAAAATTAAAAAATATTTTCCAGTTCATTTTTTATAACACTACCACACATCGAAAAATAATTTACTTTTTAGGAATTCACTTTTCCCGGAATTCATTTTTCCCAAAATTCATTTTCAAAAAAAAAATAATTTTCCTATGACGGGCCCACTATTAACACTTTAACATTATCAATATTAAATTATTTTATTCAAATATTAAATTAATAATTTTACTATAAAAATTAAAATTACTTTTATAATCTCATACAATTAATATAAAAAAAATCATGTCATAGGAAAAGAAATCCTTTTTTTTAATTTACCATATGATGGGCCCACTATTTTTTTTTTTAATGTTCTCATGACAGTTTTATCTTAAACTAGGATTAAAAATATTTTTTATTGAATGCTGATATTCAAATTTGAGTTCAAAAAAATTACTTAAAAAATATTTTAAATTTATATTTTATAATTTCTTCTTGGATTCTTTTCTTTTTTGTTAATAATTTGTAACATTATTCAAAAAAAATTGAAGAAAATAATAATGTGTGCTTTTCCAGAAAGAAAACAAGTCTTTTTCACAAGCATAATAATCTAAAATAAATATAAATTAATTATAAAATGAAAAGTTGAAGAAAAACGTTTCATTTTCTTAAAAATAATATTGGTCATTGATCTCGGAGCTGGGAAAACGTTTCATTTTCTTAAAAATAAAATATTTATTTTTTATAAGAACAAGTTAGTCAACTAAAATAAATAAGCACAAAAAAACCTCTAAAAAGAAATAATGGTTTAATTGGGCTAGAAATGATATCCCGCAGCATAATTAAATGTCCATTGATCTCCAAGGAGCCAGGCAAGCGTTTCATTTTCATTTTCATTTTTATTTTATTTTTCTTTATAAGAATTCCATGCAATTTCCTTAATAAATCTACTATTTCCTTTATTTCCCCTAATAAATGAACGCACATGTCCTCCGTACATCAGACCATGCCCCCCGTGTTTTTTTTTTTTAAAAAAAAGTAATAAAAATACCTATAAAATTTTTAAACCGGAAATTTCCTCCGGCGAATGGAACTAACCAACGGGGGCAGACTCACGTATCGGGCTGGGCTATGTTGTAACAATCATTTGCAAGAGGCCCAAAAAAGAGAGAAATTATTTCAGTCACCACGTTCTCAAAAGTCGTGGGAGTCCACAACTCATGCATCCCATTAAGGGAAAGCAAGAAAAGGCAAACAAAGGGCAGTTTCAATTCAATTCAATTCAATTTTGGAAGGAAGAAATTTTGGTTTGTGGATTTGAGTGGAAGCATAGCTATGGTGAAAGCAGTAATCGGAGACGAAACCCAACTAACTTCAGCAGAGGATCGCCTCAGCCAATCCGGTCTCACCTCTCAGGTCTCTCTCTAAATCTTCATATCCACACATGCAAAACAACAACTACGTGCTCCAATTCTTGATATCGAACGTGTTTTTTTTTCTCGTCAGGTGGGCTTGGTGATAGGAAAACTTAGCTCCAAATTAGATCGTGGCTTCATTTTCGATTTGGTCCCCACCCCACCAAACGATGCAGGAGAACCAGCCTGTTCACTCCTCGAAACCACCAAAGATGACAACAAGAGAAAGGGTTTCAAATCTAAATCACAACCCGCTGTTGATTCTTCTTCCTTGAACATCGATTCGGATTGGGTCGCTGAACATGCCCGTCAGGTCCCTTCTACCTTTATAAATTTTATTTATCTTATGTGGTTTGTTATTGTGGGCCCAATTTGGTGAAAAAAAAATGTTGTTGTTAATGTCAAAGGTTTCGAGAATGTTAGTGGGTGGCATGAAGGTTATTGGTGTTTATGTTTGGGTTAGTGATAATGCTTTCAAGAATTCAACTATAACACTTTTCCAGGTAATTCTTGCCCCTTGTAATTTGACTATTTTTCCTGTCTTAGTTTGTTTTAATTTTACTTAGTTCTGTGAAAATTGAGCTGATAGGTTTTTTGTTGATGGTATAGCTTTTACAGACAGTGAAGGGAGTTGCAGAAGCTGCACCAGTTACTGAAACTGATTGGGATGAGAGATTGCTAATACATATATGTTATAGTCCTAGGAGGTATTTCATCGTTACTGTCACCGTTTAATTGAAACTCTTGTTTCTATTACCAAGTATCTGTCATTTTGATGCAGGCGTTGTTTTTGTTGTTCATATGAACTAATGAGTTGATTTTTGCAGGTGGACGTGCCGGAATTGTGTGCTGTCATCAAATATTACTTCAAGTAGTATACGGCCATGTGATTTTAAAATGGGAAGGGTCTTAAGTTCCCTTCAGGCATTTAGGTGTACATACAACTTCAAACTCAGGTATCTTCAATGGTTTTCATATGTGTGCTCTGTTTGGGGATCCAAACAACAGTTCTATTTGGTGCTGGAATACGAATATCTTGTGATCCTTGTGACTCACGAATGAAGCTATATTTCCCAGATTGCCTGTAACTCATGAGAGTGCATCAAATGCCCAAACATTGGGTTCAATTCTTCGTCATGTAATTTCTGTGCATGCTAAAGAGCTTAGGGATGCAAAGGCTATGATTGATGGGCATTTGGTAAGCTGCACTGCGACTTCATCTCTCTCGGAATATAACTGCAGACCTTAAAGTCATTAATTTATGAAGCAAATCAAGGATTTGCAGTTTCTTATCATGGATTTATTCATTTAATATGAAACCCAGAGTAAAAATTTAAAAAAGTGACATGATGATGCTTGAGGATATTGGATGGAAAATGATTCTATTAACAGGATGGTTTGGTTTTTAAGATCTGGAAATTAGTTGATAAATACCTGCACCTGCATCTCCATGGTGATACCTTGAGACGTGCCTGATTTCATTAAACTCATGCTTCATAACAATTTAGTGATTAATGGATCCCAATTGGGCACATCATTTTGAGTTAAAGCATACTGTTGCTTTGTTGGCTTGGAATAGACAATTTGTATGGACTGTGGCTTCACTTTAGGAGCATTATTATTCCTAAACATTTGTTCCAATGGTCCATTTTTCTTGTCATAGCTTCCTATGTTTATATGGTTTTAGGTTGTTGGCGAGGAGCTATGCACAACTGATGGTACGCATGAAGTTGAATTGCTCCTACCATTCACAAAGAAGTCTTTGGTTGAAGGTGTGTTGGAAAGCTTTAAATATTTGGCACAATTGCACTAAATGCTGATATGGTAGCTTGAACATATTGTTTCAATCATTTTATGATTTTTTTTTTATTTGCTAAAGCAAGCAGCCAGAAGGATGTTGCTGGTGTTCTTGTCTTTGGTGGATCCGTGTGCTCTTATGCATACTCAAACTCAAAGGAACCAGTGATGCAGGCTGTTGCTGATATAAAGGTACTTCTATTCTAGAAAAATTTACTTTTGTTTTGAGTATCTCGAGGGAATGTCTATACCAGATTGATGATGATTCATGATAACTTTTTTATGTTTGATTCATGTGTTTTGACTGTCTACTGCATTTTGGAATTTTACTAATTGAGTGTAGAAATTGCTACAGTTCAACATAAATTTACATTTACGCCATCGGTACTTCTTTAATACAGTCACAATGGTGTGGGGGGTTTGTTCCTCAACACTGTATATAAGATGTTCTGTGTGTGTGTCCACTTTTCATGCAAAATTCTACCTATTTAATGATATGAAATGATTATTGGTGGGCCATTTTTTCTTGCCACTTCAAGTGGTGCATTCTAAGCGACTGCCTCTGTTCTCTTCTTGCTTCTTACCTCACAGAGGTTGCTATATGCCCATCTTCCAAACTAGATTGTCTGCTCCTGGAATGTCGATCTATATATCAATGAAATTTCAAGTATCCTCTAATTTTTATTTTTTGACCAGGATTTGTTCCTTGACACTATATAAGGCATTCTGTATGTCTCTCCACTTTTTATCCAAAACTCTGCCTATTTACTGATATAAAATGATTATTGGTGGGCCATTTTTTCTTACTAAACATGTCAATGATTGGACTTTTAATGCCATTGCAAGCTGTAAGCTTCACCCAGGACCAATTGGCACATAATGCACACATATCCGTGCATTAAATAGCAGCCAGCATTCATAAATGACAATTTTAGAATTGAATTTCAAGCACAGAAAGAAAAGAGGCAATTTAAGAAGAGCAGAGGATAAATGCTGAAATACAAGATAAAGATCAGACAGGCATTCTGTTCTAGAAAATCTGTTTGTCATGGTGCCTGCAGAATGGCAACACATGAATCTCGTTTTTTTCTTCTGCTTTATGATTTTGGAATAAAAGAATGAAGCCTTTGCTTCTCTCTCTCTCTCAAGATGCTTTATGGTTATTTCTCTTTTTCAGATTTTCTATTCCCTTTTCATGGTTATTGTTTTTTTACCTGTGTAATTATGGAAATTTTATTATTATTCTCAGGATGATATCATCAGGAGTCTTCAAAGTAGACTTGATATCATCTGTGATGAAGCAGATGAAGATCCAGATCCTATTGACAACGATGGCAAGGATTCAAGGGTAGAAAAACTGCCTGAGAAACCTGTTCCAAGACTTGTCTTGAACTCTTTGAGGTGTGTGAGCTGTAACGTTAGTAGTCTTTTTGAGCAGATGATGAGAGCCTGGCCATGAGTCTGAAAATTTGTACTTGATTTGTTATTGTTTTAAAGTAGATTGGTGATGTTTTATCATCTAACTGTCATTTACACATGTTGACTTGTCTGTCTGAAATTTTTGTTATGAGAAATTCAAGCTTTCTGCCGCATGGTACAACCAAGTAATGGTACAATCTCAATTGTCCATGAAGGCAGGGCCAGCATGAGTCCCTCATGGGTCTCCTGTGTTGCTCACATTGATGGTTATCTAGATCATATGCACTGTGGGGGGTGTTTGGTTTTCAATTGCTGAGGGTGTGGTTCCTCTTTTGTTATTTCTTTTTGCCCCTTCATATCTGGCTTAGCATAGAACCTATCTGAAGCATCTCTTTGAAATTTGATGCAGTTTGTTTCTGAAACATGAATTGCCATACTCATAACATTTGCTATTGTACAATTCAATGCAGGAGAACATGCCTTCTTTCATTTCCTCGAAGAGTCTTTGTTCCCTGGTTGGCTGGTACATTCATCTGTGACTACCTGCAACCATCTGAGACAGTTGGGGTATGTTCATGTGGTTTGTTGAGCAAAATACATCTAACACTACAGTTGAACATTCTTACACTGAAAGCTGTCATCAATTAAGTTGTTTTGAGTTTAATCTTGCTCTATTAGGTTTTGAAAGAACATTGCGTTGAGTTGATGTCCATGGAAGCTCCAACTGATCCTTCGACATATCTCCAACCTGAAGTTGAAGCTCCGTCACTGATCACTGAATCTTTCTGGGATGTTGCAGTTCCTAACCATTTCGCACCTGTTTCTTCTCTAGAGAAGAGCAGACAAGTGGACATGAGTGTGGAAAGTAGCCGGCAATCTAATCAGCCATTTAATTTCAATGTCTTTGCTGCTGTTTGCTTCCTTCTCTTTGCAATCTTGGTTGGGTTTGTGCTTGCAAGGCAAAAATAGTGTCCGGGTGAATTTTTTGGTGTTAATCACATGGTATAGAAATAGGATAACAGAAACTCAATTTTTTGATTTCTTCTTCATTATTTGTTCTGGTTTTGCATTTTAAAAGTGAAGTTCCATGTGGCCCTTCACAAGCCTCACTAAGAACTGCAGCAATTTTGTTATTAGAAGAGAAAGAGAGTGAAGTGTGGAACTCGAGTTATTATACCTGTTTTTATTCTCTCATTTTACTTCTTGAGGTGTGGGTTTGGAAGCAATGCTTGTATTGATTTGTTAACAATTTCCGGTGTCTTGTGTGATATTCTATTGAATCTTCTTACGTAATTATTTATGTTGGTGAAAATTGCTTATGAATTCAATTTCAAATCTTCAATAACTCATGTTATGTAACAGGAAAGAAAAAAATCTAATGTGATGTAGGTAATTCGACCGAATCCCACCTAATTTTCTTGAACATGCTCTGGCTTTTTTTGGTTTTAAAAAAGCATCAAATCTCAGCTTTATCAAAATGCAAGTTTTTAAAATCAAGGTTTTGAAAGGGTTATTAAACATTCATTTTGTTTTGTTGTTTGGTCAGCTCAACCACGAGGGTACTTTGTTGCAACCCAGCACAATAGATTAGAGTAACAAATCCAAAATTCAAGCAAGCTAGTGAGGGGTCATGAGGCCCAATGCCATCCACCCCTCTCTTCACTAAAATAACAGGGAAGCTATGATCCATCCCAAATTCATAAAGAGAATTATCCGCGCAACAAGCATATGTCGATACTTGATATGTTATACAGGATAAACTTATTGCAAATAACATGTGCACAGGCGCATATTCTTCTAGTCCCATCGATCAAGCATTTCATACACGGAGATCATTGAGGGGTATCTCTGATACTCTCACACAGGCTGACTGATTGAACAATCCCCTCCTGAAAGCCTATCCTTTTCAGGTTAACTTGGGAGGTCATGCCTTGAAATAATGCTGCAGGGAAATAGAGGAGCACATGGTATAGGAACAGGAACAGGAACAGGAACATGTATTTAATATATTCGAAACACACCATGCTTACCTATTCTTTATCAACAATGATCATTGAACGAAGTTCACAGTTCTCGAATCTAAACAAACATGTTACGAGTAATCATTCATAAGACTATTTATACGTTGTTAGCTTTTGAAAAAAAGAAAAAAAGACTTTGTAGTGTAAGAAAAGTACTGAAAAATAGTTGCTACTCACTTTTTGCACATCTTGTTTTTCACTGATGGATGGCAATCATTTCCCAAAGCATTCAATGTGTGCTGCAAGAATCTATGGTGAGTAACTATTGCAACTTCTTTCTCTGGTCGTGTCCACAACCTGAACAAGTGACAGATTGCCTGTCAGTCTTTTTATAATACTACTATAAGCCAACGGTAAAATCTGAAATACTATTTTCACAATTGCATGACTGCTCTCAATTTGTATTTATTTTTATTTAAGCTAACATGTAGTTGCTTTGCGGATCAAAAGATGCAAACACCTACCAGTTCATAAACTTCAAGCCCCTGGCTGCAATTTCCTCATCAGTCTCCCTAGCATCAGTCTTCCAAGAGATGTCTTCATCACTTTCTATCTAAAAATTGAACAGTTTAAGAAACTGGCACTAATAAAAAGGTGCTTACAATCCTTGTGTTAATGCTAGACGGGTTATTAAGTACATACCAATGAAAAATCAATTGTAGGAAAACGAGACCGATTCTCGCTAATGGTTCTCCTCTTGTCACATGGATGAACTCCCTGCAGCGAAAAAGAAATGTAAACAACTTTTAAGAGCTACAAATATTCCAAAATCCAGCAACTTTAATCTAGACATTGAGGCATATATACCAAACGTTCTCGACAAAGTTCAGATGCTACAATTGGTGGGCATTTGAGACTTGATATCCCACTATTGTCTATATTTGCCTTTGATTCATTCATCTGGCCTTCGCTGCCAAAGACTTGTATGGCGGTTTGCATGGCCCTAAAAAGAAACTCATTGATAATATCTAAGCAATAAATTGAACATGCAGCAAAGCAACTGACGAAATTCAAGCTGTATAATTTATTAAGCACCTGCACAAAGGAGAAGTGATGACTAAATCAATCCTCTCGAGTTGTCCAGATGCATGAATTTGCTTCCTTAGATTGCCCGCCTGTTACAATACCAGAAAGTCAGATGTGCCGTCTGATAAAGCAGGAGAAATGAAGGCGAGATTCAGATATTGATTTCTTTGAATAGAAACTCGAGAAGATATGAAGATCATTATGGATTTGTTTTAGAGCACGAAATGAAATGAAATGGCCATCAATTACATACTTGTTGCTCGCCCAAAGGAGACAGATGCGCATCAAAATATTCAGGAGATAACAGCGCATCATGATCTTTCTCCCCTGCTACGTTGTGGATTCCCTGTGCATGCCTCACCTGATGGACACACATAATTGAGGAAAGCGATCTTAAGTCATAAATAGAGAGCATAGAAAAAGGAAAGCTATTGTGCAAATTACCAGATGGAGGATTTTAGAATGCTCTAGTGGGTACAGAAATAGAGCTGGATTGGCATCCATGGCAGGTTAAAACTCGAAGCACAATCCTGGAACTTAGTGTGGACAGCAGGAGGTCTGGCACAGATATTGTCCTCGATAATGCAGGTTTTCTTTCCTTTTCATAGACCCAGTCCAAGACTATTTTAACACATGATTAGCCTGACTTTCGAGCCCCCCGACGCCGCCCCCCCAATTATCTGAATGGCTTTCTCGAGAGAGGAAAATAAAAATAAAAAACACCACACGCATATGCTTTTTTCCCTGGTAATTTAACAGTAATGAAATAACAGTCAACCCTAGAAGATTACAACCACCCTCATTCCTCTCTCTGACAACCAAATCACGGAACCTTCGACATGCAAAGGCCTGACGTAATTTTTTATTTTATTTTGTCGAGACCTGTGTGAAGCACAATTTGGAAGTGCTATATTTCCAAGTGTTTATGCCTTGGAAGCTTATGCAAGAACCATGAAGAGTTTGCTTTGGAACGTTTTTCATAGACTGTCGATGTTCATCGTGGTAGATCTATTACATGGTCAGATTAATTTGTTTTTTTTTTTTTTTTGTCTATAGTATAATCGGAGAGAGTGCATGGCACAAGCTATTACCTTGTCGCAAGCTGCAACCATGTCTCTCTATGGAGTCAAAAAAGGGCAAAAATATAGACTTCATTTGGAGATCGAGCATAAGAATTTGTAGTTGCTTGATCAGAAAATAACAGATAAGATCAAGGGAAAGTTGGACTCATAACAATTCTGGAATTGAAATTAATTGCTTAGATCACCGCAATCAGGGTTGGAATTAAGGGGAGGCAAGCAGGCCGGCCTACAAAACATTTTAGACTTTTTTATTTTTTAGTGTTTGAATATGAGATAATATAATACCTTTTATTTGACACCTTTTAATAATAGATTATTATTTTCTTAGCTACCCTTGACTCTAAAACTCTCCACTTTAAAACTTTATATTTTATGTTCTCTCCGTGGAAGTGGAAAAAAAAAAGACAGATAACTTTTTGAATTTAATTACTTATCCGTTTCTTTCTTTTCTTTATCCGAGCCCTAACAAAAACTATAAAAATACAAAGCACATGGAAAGGATAAAACAAAGCTACTAATTAATCTATTCTTCATCAAAAAAGGTAATTAATTAGTGGTGACCTTAATTTAAAATCTTTTTTTATATATATTTGTTAAGAATTTGATGAGGTTTTTTATATATAATTTTACTATTTTTACTTGTTTTTTTCATATCTACTAGTCTTATTATTTTTTTCATTCTTGTTATAGTGAATGTTTTTTTTCTAATTAATTGGATATATTTTATGGGTTTGTTTTGATTATACTTGAATTTTGTTATGTTTTGTTCTTAGCAGGGTTACTAAAATTATCAATTTTTTTCTTACATGTACCTTACCATCACCAGGCCCAATATATAGTTAAACATGATCTTTCTAGGCGAATTGAGTTATTTAAAGAGCACATGCCCAGCTTTGATTCAGTGTAAGTTTTCTTCTTTAAGAACCAATAATCCTATTTTTTTATGTTAGATTTGCTTTTATATATTAGTTTTTTTAATATGTTAATTTTGCTTTAATATGTCAGTGTTGTTCACGTGTAAAAATTTATTTTTGGTTCTGATTATTGCTTCAGCATGTTGTTATTTGTATTCATTTTTAAAACAAAAAACAATAAAAATTTATAATGTTTTAATTTTGGATTGAACCATGAACAAAATAAGAATAATTGATTCCTTTGTTGAGAAAAAGAGGAAAAATATTGATAACTCATAGCCTAGAAAACCCAACTCCAATATATAATATTAAAGTTATGATTAAGAAGCCCCATTATATATCAATTTATAAAAAACCTGCATTCATTAGTGAGTAGCCTTCTATTAGAATCAACATTGCTCGTTTAATTAGAGATCCAAGCAGTAATCCTCAAATTTAGAAATACCTGGTTAATCAACAAGATCAAATTTAAAAGGCATACATTAATTTGAAGTCATATCAATCTTTAATGTCTGAATATCCGTTGATTGGTGGAAACTATCCTCATTGATTTCAATCTTATTGGTTCAAAAGTTATCCATAACTTGAATATTCAGAAAAAATATTGCATTATATTTCCTTTGCTATCTATTTTCAAGTAAGTCATATGAAAAGTTAGGATTAGATATATTTACTCTTAAAGGATTCAATTGTTGGAAGAAAGTTAATGGTCGGGAACGATGTGCTTTTTTGACTCTTATGAAAAAAGGTCTGAATTCAGCTTATAAATTTGTTATCAAGTGTTACTCTTATGAAAAAAAGTCTGAATTCAGCTTATAAATTTGCTATCAAGTGTTTGGAGAATTTGAAAAATCAATCAAGTCATATTGAGAAAGTAGTTCAAAAGCAAACTACTCAATAAATTCTAAATAATCAATTATGTATTAAAGTTCAATAGATATTATTTGCTGGCTCATATTTCAAGCATGTACTTTTAGAGGATATGATGAACATTCAAAATAAAAAAACCAAGGTAATTTTCTTGAAATGTTGGAACTTCTAGCATCATACAATGAATAAATAGGTGCTCTTGTTTTGGATAATGCTCCACAAAATGCTAAATATACCTTACATCAAATTCAAAAAGAAATTTTGCATATCTTTACTAGAAATATCTGGTTTTCAATTCATTATTAGATTGTTGATATAAGATTTTGTTTAATTATTGATGAAGCTTCAGAAGAAATCAAATCACCCTTGTTATTAGATTTGTTGATAAAAATAGATTTATAAGTAAAAATAAAATTTTAAATCTGGGTCACCACTAACTAATTATCTTGTTTTGATAAAAAATAAATTAATTAGTAACTTTGTTTTAGCCTTTAGGTGTCACGTTGTATTCTTATACTTTTTTATTAGGGCACAAGAGAAAGAAATGAAAAGATAATTAAATTGAAAAAATTGTTTTTTTCTTTTCTACTTTCACGTAGAGAACATAAAATATAGAATTTTAAAGTCAAAAGATAGCTAAAGAAATAATATTTTTTTATTAGAATGGTCATCTATTTAAAATAAAAGGTATTACACTATCCCACATTTAAATATTAAATAATTAAAAAAATCTGGAATATTTTGCAAGGCTCGGACCTGCTTACCTCCCTTTAATCCCACCCATGATTTTAAAAACTTTTCTAATAAAGAAAAAACTCATTTGAAATAAAAAATTATTGAAAGATTCACAATTGATATGATAACTAATTATTTCTATTCTATAAAAGAATAGTAAGTACAATTAAAATAAATATATAAAAATTATTTTTTATTATTTTTTACTTTATTTCAAAGTTTTATCAAATATAAATAATGCATCGCTTTAATTAATGTTTCTTATATATTTTAAATGTTTATATTTAATAGGTATAAAGATCAATAAAATTAAAGTAATGAATACATCATGTAGATGAAATTAATTTTATGACTTTGACTTAATTTGATATTATTTTGAACATCTTACCTTATATAAAAATCATTATATGTTTGCAATAAGTTTTTTTTGAATAAAACTAAATATGTAATGTACAATATATATATATATATATATATAT